TGGGTGGGTGGGAGGATTGAAAGCGACATTATTGCTCTATTTGTGCGCGTGGGAGGGGGGGGGAGTAATCACAGTAGATCGGAAGAGTAAAAATATGGAGATTTCTTGGCTGCCTTCGGTACGGAAAGCTGAGACGCGGGCAACTTGATGGATCAGCCAATTATAGAGCAGTTTGGGTAGGAAATGGAAACAAGGGCGTATTATAGACCCTTTGAAATGCCCAGCAGGAAAGGTTTGGGATAAGAAGGTGAGGGGGCGCACGTTTGGGAAACAAGAAGGCCAATGTGTTTGTTTTAGCGTTTCTGGCGGGCTAGAATGGATGTTAGGACTTGTGTCTTTTTTAAGACGCAAATATTTTGGGAGTGAACGATGCGCATTCCGGCCTTTGAGCTGTGTGATCTGATGATAGTATAGTATAGCTACTTTCTGTGTAGACTGTGGCAGCCCACTGCTGACGTGGACTACATACAACTTGTCTTCATGACGCACGGGTTAGCAGATCGTGTTACGGCAACACTTATTTTAAAAGTCAGAGGATGCATATTATTTGGTGCAAAGTAGCTATCATTAAAATTATCAGTGAATATGAATTGAACTTACGTTCACAAATACAAAACACACCTAAAAAGGCAGCTTTTCGAAGAAAAAGACCGAGGATTTTAAAATATAATACAGAGTCAATTGCTCTGGGAAAAGGATTGAAAACCATTGTTTTTGCCCAGGATATCAATTGTGGTCCTTCCAAAGTTGTTGGTGGGAAGGGGAAAGGGTGTGGGCGGTGGAGGGGGGGATTAATTAGTATTACTGGTTTTGGAAAGGGAGCGGGGAGGGGGGGGGGTAAGTCGGTTGCAGTGAGAGTATAAGGGAGCCGGAGGGGAGGGGGTGGGTCATCACCGCTAAATGTGAGGCAACGTGGTGGAATCAGGCTCTCCTCAATTTTTGGGCATGTAGACTGTAGAGTTATTGGCATCATCTTAAAGCTTGTTCACCTGTCTTTATTTGGATGAAAAAGTATCCATTAATCTGGAATACAAGTCGAGATATTTGCAATTGAAGGAGGTGGGGGTCACCTGTTTTCAGAGGTAAAATTAGTGATAAAATGGCCGCCAAAGATTAGTTATTTCTCAAGCTTAAGTGCCTGCGGTAACTGAAAATTTACATTTTTTGTGCCTTTAATCAACGTTTTTCAGAAAAATTTACACAGAAATGAGTTCTTTAATAGGCATGAAAGGTGTT